GACAAAGAGAGCGAGAGAGAGAGGGAGGGGTGGGATACAGGGAGAGAGATGGAAAAATAGGACATATAGAGGAGACATTCTCAGGAGGTTGAAGAAAGACTACTACTGGTTTAAATGCCATCGTAAGAATGCGGATGACCTACTAACTTTTGAGACTTCCCTTTAAAGTTCCACATGTTGGTGTGATGTTGACTGACTGACCGTTTACGTTGAGCACAATAAAATAAAAATGTAGAAGATTCTTCCATTCAGTTCACAGTTACTCCAACACCCCTGATACAGTAAGTGTGAGGGATGATGTGGGGAAGAGAGAAAGGTTAACACGGGAGCAGCAGTGGATGCAAATGAAATGAAGAGTAAGAGTTGATGAGGGGTGGAGAGAGAGGAGAAGGGGAGAGATATGGAGGAAAGAAAGAGAAAACCTCTCAGTGGGACAAAGATTGTATTGTTCCCGTTTAGAGCTTTGGATGAGGAAAAACTGAAAACTGAGAAAAAATAAGAGAAAGTGACAGAAAATAAGAGAGTAAGAGCACCAGGTGTAAGATGAGTGAAGTGAATATTGATGCCAACAAATTGTAAATGACTTACTAAATCTTTTATGCAGTTTGTGAAAAATCCATTTCTATTAGTTTCATCATTATATGCATCCCTAATCCTGCTGCTCGTGCCTATAGCTTCCGCTGCACTGTGCCATGCTGTCCAGCTAATTATCCTTATCTAGTTCCCATGGCAATAGAGATAATGGACTGAGGTGCCTCGCTAGCACACCCTTCCCCAATTAGCCCAGCCATGCCCGGCACACGCTCAGCATTCACTATTAAAATGGCACCACGGCCTGAATGCACCCTCTGCTCATGCTAATTATTGGGTTAGCTTGGCCAGGCACACCTTAAACACTCCGATAAGATTAACATCTCAGTCCCAGTTATTCTCCCAGTCCAATTTATATCATTGCACTGATTCACTCTCTCGGATTTAGCGAAGTCTCTGCTCGTGCTCTCAGTTGGCCTGGAGGATATAAGTGTCCATACTGCACCAGAATACATCCCATGGATGTATGTTCTTTACCAAGCTGCTTGGCATTTAAGTGAAAAATGTGAGGACAGGACTGCCGTCACCCAGCTCGCCCCGGCTCATTGTCTCCTTCAAAGCCTTTCTAAAAAACGCCACTTGCCCATTAGTCCTCCCACAACATTGGATACATTTTTCCCTTAAAAGCTGCCATCCCGTCTTACCTGCCCTCCTTGGACTTGCACTATTAACATTTATAGAGATGCTATTTTTAGCATTTTGCACTGCATAAAACATTTGGAACTGCTTTATCAAGTCTGTGCAACACTGAATTTGCATACTATGTCACAATGAAGCTATCTCTGCTTTCTAAAAAGTCAAGTTTTTGTTTCATTCATTCCTTTGTATTGTAAATAACTAGCTGCCATGTCCAATCCTCAGTCATTTTGGAGCCCTGTGGATATTTTGCTTTGGTCTCTTGTGTACACTTGGACCACCCAATCATTTGTGTGTTTCTTGTTCCTTTTAAAAATTTTATGATGAAAAATGGAAGGGTAGATAATCATTTATCATAAATTATAGTGACAATTGGGTCACATCTGAGCAAAGCATATGATGATGGTTATGGCAACACTGAAAGTCAACCATGTGGGTTAGGAAGTGGTTTGAGAGTATGCCACCAGTTTAACATTGCACTCCAATAACAACAGGATCAAAATTAATGCAGCAGAACCAGAGGTACCGTCTTTCTTATTCAATAGGCTATGTTACCTACAAATGCAACCCGACCTGCTCAGTCTCAGATTTGTGTGTGTATCATGCTAGTAGCGGCTAACATAGCCTCAAGCTGCTAGCCTCAAACAGAGATGAGAGGCAGGCTACAGGGGTCTGGTAGGTTCATTTTCTAGATCTGTTTCAAACTGGTAGACTTCAGCCCCAACCAACACTGACTCGAGAGGCATCACTTGAGGCAATTCATCTTTCTCTGGAGCCTCAAAAGGCTTTCCATGATTTCACATATTCAGTAGTACTCCCCAAGACCTGTAAGTCAGTGGAATTCCCCTTTCATACAATCAATCCTCCCAATGTCCTTCCTTCCTCTTCACACAACTAAGTGGGTGCAGAAAATTAAATAGTTTTGTGCCTGAAGTCCTTACATACTTCAGCACAAAAATCTTGAGTTTTTCATGTGGAGGTCAGAGCACTTTTGAATCCAACATCAAACTTGCAAAGACTTGCTTGAGATGATGGATAATTCATCACGATGGAAAACTCACCATCTTAGCTATCTAATGGTCCTGCAGTCCCGCAGTGAGTGAGAACTGCTTTAAAGAGTCGTCTCCTTGGTGAGTTCATGAAACTCAGACTCTGGAAATTTAAAAATCAGCTGCCAAAAACCACTGCATTGATGAGCTGTGTTGTTATATAACAAGAATGCTCATATGTCAGATGCCTGTCTAATGTGTTTAGTTTTTGTCAAATGTTTAATCAACATCGTGTCCATGTTCCGAGGCTAAACATTTCCCACCTTCATAACATGAAAACATTTAAAATGAGATATTGTTTTAATCTTTGAGCCTTATTTCATTTAAACAAACTTGATTCCAAGTAGCTGTTTGTATTTTTGTATCTTGCAGATAAACATTTTTCATTCATAGGTCAAGAGTTCATCCAAGTCATTTAGGCAGCTATACTGTAAAGTAGGAACCAAAATACAGCCTGTCCTGAGCTGATAAGTGAGTATGAGTATTAGTACGATAAACAACAAAATTCTATCTATTGCTTTAAAGAGTTTGATCCATTTTCAACCACCAACACATCCATAATTTATATGACAGCTGGGTACCCGAGCTTTGGTTTAAAAGAAACAGTCACAGAATCAGTCACATTTCTCTAACTCCACTAATATGTGTAGGCCGGAGTTAAGGTCACTTTTTGATTGACTTGTTGAAGCTTCAGTGCACATTTCCAAAGGTGAATCAAAGGGATCTAATTCAAGATTCAGCGTTTTTGTTTGTCTGTTCTGGGCTACTGTAGAAACATGGCGGTTTAACTAGGCAGGCACCATGAAAGGCCACCTACAAAAACACCATTCTTATTTTCAGGTGATTATACACCATTGTAAACATACCTATGAATATTACATTCAAGGTCTGCCAATAGATCCTCCTAAATGTTACACACTGGACCTTTATTCAGACTCGTCACCATTGAAATGGGAGGCTTGGAGGTTGACTCACGGAAAGGGGTCATTCAGTATGGAACAATGGTGATGAAGTCAGAAACAGACGTTATGATAATATTCACAAGAGGAAAAGGTTTGATACCAATTTGTGTACATAACTGGGGCTGTTACACCAGTGTGGGCGTCATTATTTGTGACGCCCACGGTTCAAATGTAATTGTCACTGCATGCCACAAACAAAGTGTAGTCTAAAGGAGGAAACAAAGTGCAGCAAACATACTTGGCATGAACAAACATTTACTTAAAGGGTAATGGAATGTAAAGTGCTTTTCTTAAGTAATCAGACACTTGACAGAGAAAATCAACAATCCAAACAGTGATTAACATCATTGGAGACAGAAAAGATAAATTAAATGACACAGAGCAATAAAGAGCAATGAAATCAACATTCTGCTAAAAATAATTATAAACAGCAAACAAATGCAAAGCTTAGGAAAGCAAAAACTAAATGGAGCTTTGCTCTGAAGAGAATCATTTACATTGTCTCTGGCAGTCAAGGAAAGCCTGGTGAATTGTTCTAACTAGAGAAGAGGCATAAAGTTATTATAGTGATATACTTATAGTGATATATACAAAATAAAATATCAGTATAATGACACCGGTAATACGAATACTTCCTGCTGCATTACTGATGCAGAAATATTTCCTTCCTTCCTGCAAATATTTGATTTCTAAAATGTTTTGCTCCCTGGCAGTTCCACACTGAAATGATTCCAAGTGTGTTCGTGTTGCTATGTGTGTTAAGAGAGCTACCTACTCACTGTTTTATGTCACCTGTTTATAAAACATAAAGCACTTCATAACGCAGTGATTTAACACACTATACAGTATGTTTAATTCCTGCTCTTTTAGAGGTTTACTTTTTCTCTTCCGGAAGACGGATACACAAAATGTTTTCCCTAAAATATTTCTGCACATAGTTCCATGAGTTAATCTAAGTAATCTAATTTTAACTGTTCCTAGCCTTTAATTCATAAGACAGAACCCTTTATGCCCGATGACACGGCTTAATTGTCAGCCTGGCCGCTATATTGCTGCTTGCAACGATAATTATTAGACTAATGCACTACAGGACACTTTTGTGTGCTTGCGTGGGTGAAGGCGTGTGCTAAGAGACATGTCACACAGCTACATAAAGGTTAGTGCTAATAGAATACCACACCGCATTAAAGAGACTGTTTCCATAATAGACTCTAAGCTCCTGGCCATTCCATCAAAGTCCCATCTCCCTTATCTTTCTTCCAAGCGCTTTTGTTCACTGATAAAACAACAGAGGGATGAACGAACAGGGGGATAAATCTGATACGCTGTTGTCTTGGGGACTGGGAGCTGAATTGAGACTGTATCTCTCTATTTTCCCCTCTCTCCTCCTTCGCTGCCAGCTTCATTTAGGCCCCGATTGCGACAGAAAGCAGGAAGCTGTGCAGCCTAAATGATGCGATTGTTGAATCAGATACATGGACAAGAATGCACAACAATTACCTGATCATCAGACACCCCCCCGACTGAAACACTGACATTAAAGCTAGGACAAATACTGCAACAAATTCAAACCCTGAATGTCTAATGCTTGGACTGGACGCCACAGGAGCTTTTTAGTTGTAATGGAGCTTGACTGTAAGTTTATCTATAACCTCAGTGGTAGTCCTTCTTGCTGTGCTGTCCAAATAAAGGATGATAGAAATATAAAGGGATAAGAAAAAATGTGGACAGATCTTTGGCGCCTGGATGCAACAGGTCACGTAGCTTAAGAACAAAAGTAGGCTGAGGGATCAGGAGGGGAGATTTACTTTGTGGCTGTTTTGAAAGCAGCACAGATCAGAAAGCCGATGCTTTATCTGCAGCTGAGGAAGCAGCGAAGGAGAAAAGGATGAGGATAAAAGAGAATGAAGAGGTCGAGTGCATGTGAGCGTAACAAAAGGGAATGCAGCTGCAACATTATCGTCCTTTTATGTTAAGTAGTGATCAGCTATAGCCTTCCACACCGGGCGCTCCAGCTCTGGAGATTTTAATTCTTGTCTTCAATCGGTGTATCATATGACCCATCATGCTCTAGAGGTTGTGAGGCCTTCTAAAAGGCCCTTTCATACCAGTGACCCCCTGACCAACTTACATGAGAGTCACATGTCAGCTGTCTGTGCAGGTTTCCATTCAGGCTACATACTATCCAGACTTGTAATTTAATTGTAAGCTGCCGCATTTCCCCTCAACTCCTGAATTCCTTTGTATTACAACTCGGGTCTTATTTTCCCGAGTTATGACCTTCATTTCTATTGGCTATGATAACAATGAATGCACCAAAGTAATTACTGAGATCTGGGAACACGGTGACACTGCTGGAGCAAAGTCAGCTGGGGCGAGAAACACGAGCGGACACAAGACAAGACAAGCTAACAGTTTATATAGATTATCTAAACCAATTCATTTTAAAACTTACATTTGAAACTTAGAGCAGGGACGGTTAACATGTGCCACAACATTTTTGGTTTATTCAATATATCTCTCCCTTCATTCCATGTCAGCGCTCTACTCTGAACTCTTTAATATAAAGGCATCGATTGAGCGCACCTGAAATATCAACTCACTGCACTGCACTGAGGGTGTACAACTAAAGTATGGTGGGTCAACCACAAACAAGGAAGTCGGTGTGTAAACTGTGAAGGAGGTTCATTACCAAGTGTGGAACTGTAATGAGGAAAATGAAACACTAAACAAGTTTAAACTAATGTTTAAACAAATGCATTTGCATGACCTGGAGGTTTGTTTAAAGCCTGTATGATTGCTTGGCCGCTAGTTTTTCTTGCCCCATAACACTTTGAAGCTAAAACCCAGGTTATCTGAACGCTATTTAATCTCCATCACAAGTTACTCCATACACCAAATCCTTTTCACTGCATCTCCGTTTCTCTCGTCTTTACTCTGCTTCTAACTTAAATGAGAGAATTTGTTTAATCAAGGGCACCGGAAGGGAAACTAATTCTTCCACAGGATCGCTGTCTTCCTGGAGGTTGCAGTATGTCACTACAGTTAGTCCATCATCTTATAATCTGTATTTCAACTCTCTCCCCAGCATGTTCAATAAGCCAATAATGTTTCTGCTTGTAGAAAAAATGTATTCATAATCACCAGGCTTAACATATGGTCCTGGCTTCCTCTAATTTCTTATGGTCCGGTATTTTCGCCTTATAGTATAGATATTAAATTCATAGAGGTGGACAAAAAAAACAAACTCATTACTCTACTGCCCCTCTCCCTTACTGTTACTGCCTCTCTGTTGTCTACAAAAAAATTATAAATGTATTACAGCTTTAATGGAATCTAGAACAAAGTCAAATATGTTTATGAATGAAGCCTGTATGCCTCTACATTTCACTGTGGGACTTTTTGTTCTCCTCCTCCTCTCCCCCAAAGGGTTGTTTTGGTTCATTCAGGTTCGGCCTTTTTCATCACCCTTTGTATCCATGTTCCCACTCTCCTTACCCTTTGAACATCCTGCTTTCGGTTCGTCCCTTCCCTGCCTCTCCTTACCCTTTATCTCTGCACTTCTCTTTTATTGTTCTCCACTCACTTTGGCTGTCGCACAGGTCTCTCATCTCTCTCTACCATATAGCTCTCACCAGCAAAATATCCTCCTTCACACATACATCCTTTCCTCTGACCTCTCTCCTACCTCTTTCCATCCATCACTCTCTCTCTCTCTCTTGCGTCACCCCTCTCTCCCTGCCTCCATCCAGAGATAATTACTACAAGCCTTGTGAAGATCAGCTTGTATTTAAACAGCTGAATAAGCAAGCCCCGGGGCTGCTGACAGTCGCTATTCAACAACAGTGAAACGGTGGAGTAGAAAATAATAGTTTGCGTGCTGCATTATAGGGGACATTTAAAAACATCACTCTAGACTAACTGGTGCTGTCTTATTGTGTCCCCAGTAATGAGCAACACTCGTGGGGGAAAATCTGCATGCGGCCTCTGCCCTCTATTGTGGCCACACAAGCTGATATACTGTACACACACATTTAGATCATTGCTAATTAATTAATCAGTGTAGCACGTAGACAGAAAACATGCAAGAACATGAATACAATTTTGCATGGACACACGTACACTTCGAATCTAGTTATGTGTACGTGTTTTTACAGTTTGGGGGTCTTGTGGTGCATAATAAACAAACAAACAAACACAGACCTGCTTCATTGTACGTTGCGGAGAGCTTCTCCAGCATTTCTCTGTCCAAGGCCAGGATCTGTTGCTCCAGGATGGAAGGATAAGACAGGCCGCCCCTCTCCTTTTTTTCATCTTTCTCCTTGTCTTTTTCTCTGTCCCGTTCTTTCTCCCGTTCATAGGTCAGTAGCTGCTGGCGGAGAGCCTCGGGCAGGTGGGCCTTTGCAAAGTCAGCAGCGGCCTGATAATGGGGAGCAGAGGGAGAGAAAAAGTGTTGGATGGCTGCAGATAAAAGTGAGCTTGGTCAAAAACAATATCTAGGTCTAACCAAATATATTCAAACCTACACATTGATGAGTCTGATTTGAAAGAGACAGAAAATTAATCAACAATAATTTTGATCTACTAACAAAAATGCCAAACATGATCTGGTTTTAGCTTCTCAAATACAAGAATGTGCTGCTCTTATCTGGTTTATTTAATTGTAAATGGAATATTTTTGGCTTTTTGACTGTTGTTCAAACAAAAGAAAACTAAACTTGACAGAACTTCAGACTTTTACATAAAAAAAAAAAGAATCATCAGTAATAATAAAGCTAATGTCGCCATGAATAAATGAGGTGAAGGACTGAGACAACTATGCATCAGAATAGTTGCTGATTTATTTCCTGTTGACCAACTAATTCCAGAGGTGTAATGAAAACCTGACAGCCAATAATTGGGTATAAAAAGCCCAATTCTTCTGGGAGAGCTACTGAAGACCTTTCGACTGAAAAGTGCATGTAATCACTGGATTTTCACCATCACGTAAATGGACCATAAATACACATTAGGACATTATTCATACAGAATATTGCAACGTAGTGCCCATTGATTAAAAACAAACTATATATCTATAACTGTGCACACACATGCTCGTAGTGTATTTGGCGAGTGACATACACACATCAGGCTATAGTAGCAGTAACCTGCGTGTCCTTTCTGCTTTGCTACAGCAGATAAATCACAGATAAACAAAGATAAAAGAAAAATAAAAAGTGCATCGCCAAACAAACCCACACAAGCTCACACTCGCACCCCGCTGTGGGATAGAGCTGAGCCAGAGAAACTGTCTCCTCACCTCTACACATTCGACTCAAAGGTAACACCAACTAAACCCCTTTTTTCCCCACACAACATGCTGTTTCAGAACAAATAATGCCTCACTCCCCTGGCTCGGTGCCACAGAAGGGAAGACGAGCCCGTCCAAGGTCATGGAGTTCAAAAAGTTCCAAGTGCAAATGTTAGATAATATTCTGCTGACATGCCACTGATCTGCAGCATCCCGGATTCATACAGCTCGTGTTTCATATGGGGTTTTCCATTTTAGAAACACCTGCAGGAATTAAAAAGCTGTGGATTAAGGAGACTGCAGGAGAGCAAAAGTTTGCAATTTCCTGGCGCTGATATATAATGATATAATGCTTTGAAGTCATGTGACACAGACCCATAGATGAACCTTATGTCTCAAGGGTGTCCCCATTTAGCTCTCTCTACTACATCTATACCTCCCTCCCTCCATTTCTCTCTATCTATATCTTGTTCTGCTCTGGGAAATTACTTTCAAGCCCTCAGATAACCCTGCCTCCTCCACTTCTTCTCTACACAGGAAAACAACTCATCTACTCCTCTCTTGTTATATCTTGTCAGTGTTATTGAAGCTTTTCTTTGCAAGCTCCGTCACTCTTCCCCTATCTGCTCAAATGAAACCCAAACACTTCCAATTTTCTCTTCTCTCTGCATCCATGGTAATGCTCAGTCCTAAATCACCATGGATCTTTCTGACACTCTCCTTTCTCTTGTCTGAAGACAATCACCATTGACATACCTTTATCCTGCGGTTACCATGCAGGGAACAGGAGTCATAAACTCAGTTCAAAGGTCATAAAGGGAACAGGAAGACCTTTGTCTGCTTGGGTTATACTCCGCCAATTATCGAGCAGTTTAATTGTCTGCCTGTCAGTCCTTCACAAAGCACTGAGGTCACAAAACTTGTTTCCAGCTTACATTCTCCAAAGCATTTGACTAGACATGCACGTGTATGTACTAATCAGTCTGTGGGACCAGCGGTGGAATGAAAGTACATTTACTCAAGTACTTTACTTGAGGAGCTTTACTTGAGTAATTTAATCTCATGCTACTTTATACTTCTATTCTGCTATTTGACAGCTTTCGTTACTGATTACTTTACAAAGTAAGATTATTGTACAGAAAACATATGCTAATGCACAAATACAGCTGAAATGATTAGTCGATTAATCATTTGACAGAAAATTGTTAACTATTTTGATAATCCTTCAATTATTTTTCATGCAAAAAGGACAAACATTTCATGATTCCACTTTTACAAATTTAGGGAGTCGCTGCTTTTCCTTTTAATTAGTTTAGTAATTTAAATTTATTTTTAACATTTTTGAGGTTTGGACTATTGATCGGACAAAACAAGCACTGTGAAGGTGTCGCTTTGGGATTTCTGGGTAATTGTGACAGGGTATCTATCACTTGGTTTTCAAACCAAACAATCAATCGATTAATGGAGATAGCAATAGGCGGATTAATCCATAATGAAAATAATCTTTGGTTGCAGTTTTACATAATATAGTTAAAAATTAACCTCATGCATTAATATAAGTAATTAACCTAATATTAATGCATGAGTAATATTAATCTAATTATGTTTAATAGTATAACAGTTACAGGGAAAAAAAATTCTCCACTGAGTACTTTTACTTTTATTAGTTAATTTTCCTGATTATACTTATGTAACATTTTCATTGCAGACATTCATTTGTAAAGGAGTATTTTTACACTGTGGTATTAGTAGCTTTACTTTAGTAAATACTTCCTCCAACACTGTCTGAGACAGTGTGAATGCATGTGTGTTTTAGCTTGGGAACAGCACACAGGCTCAACAGAACAGGAAGCGGAGGCTAAGTCTTCATTATCTGAATCTAACCAGCTGGCTAACCAGATCGACACATCGAACACCTGGCTTCAGCATCTGCACCGGCTTAGAGGATGAAAGGAGGGAAGGGTGGATGAGGGAGGGATAGCAGGGATGGATGGGGATGAAGGCTTTGGGACAGACGGATGAAGACAAGATGGCAAGGATCAAGGATAGTAATACAAGGGGGAACAAAATGGAGGATGTGATTAGCGGTTGGCATTAGAGCATAACGGAGGAATGCAGGAAGAGCTAAAGCAACTGAACGCTCCACGGTCGGTCCGCTGTTCGGTGCTGTGCTTTAGGTGTAGAGTTTCACTGAAAATAACTTTCTGCTGCGGTTGAAAACAACACTGAGAAGGTGAGAATTAATCAAAAGTCGTGTCCAGTAAAACCAAAGCAATGACCTGAAAACTGAGGAATTGGAGTGATAATTATCTGTAGGTCTGTCACTGAGCTACTCTTACACATTACACATGTCATTAATTATTAGGAATGTAACAATATATCAAGAGACACGATATCAAACATTTTGTGAAACTGGAAGTAGCCAATGTTATTTACGATCAAAATAGTCAATTTCCTCAGGACCAACCAATTTCAAACCTTATTACAAAAAAAAAAAGCATCTTTTTTTTGGAGTGGAGAAAATTATTACTCACTCCTAGTCCCAACACAGGAGAGTTGGCTCAGAGTGCAATCAGTCATGGCTGTACGGAGCGTCACATTGGGCTCTCCTTCACACCAGACTTCACTTGCACCACACATGCAAGCACAAAGGCTTGTATGCACATACAGTTAAGTACACAAACCCACACACACACAAACCTTCCTATCTCAGCAGGGCCACCTACACACTTTTCACCCTTTGCATTTGACTGTTAACTGTGAGCCACTCAGACGAACAGTCCAACAGAAATAGTCAGGCTTTTTAAACACTTCCATCCATCATATCACCAGGCCGGCAGAAATGAGGAAAGTCATCTGAGTTTTCCTTTAGAATCACCCTGAGGGAGTTTCATAACCAAAGTAGAAAAATCTCTTTCTGCGGTCTCTCTGACAGATCAAGCAGGCAGATGGAGAGAAGAAGAGAAAAGGGAACGGAGTGTAAGAACCATTCATTAGCATCACTCAAGCACATCATTAAAGAGAGAGAGAAAGAGTCTCTCCAGTTTAAAGACCGAGCTGGAGATAAGTGACAGAAAACCATCAAAGCAATGAATACAGAGAAAGCAATGGATACTAGAGAAGAGGGAGTCTAGAGAAACAGCGTTTCAAAATATTTCTCTTTGTTGTTTTGATTTCCAATTCACATTTTAAATTATAATCACAAAAGTGATCCCTGAGGAGACTACTTCTCCAATGTTTTAATCCCAGTATAGTATGCAATGACTATAGATTGCTATATGCTTAATGCTACAGACTGATAGGATATAATTTGTCTTTACTTTAAATTAACCAGGACTTGCGCTATAGAAACACATGTTTTCACTGCAGAGGTGTCGTATGTTTCTCCTCAGGATGACATTGCAGAGCTCAGTCTGTCCACAGGGCAGAGGAGTGTGGAGCATGGAGCCCTAATTTCATTATCTCACACCTCAGCTTTGTATGTGTCAAGGCTCTGCCAAGTATAGGTTGTGAGTGGGAGCGTGTGTGCGTTGGTACAATGTTTTCACTGCATCATAAATAGAAACCCTTTTATTTGTACTTAGAGGAATGTGAATGAAGGCAAACAACACTGAAGTGAAGGGCACATGAGCACACAATCATCATTTGAAAGCCTGAGAGTGAAAGTAGATTTTTGACCTTGGAAAAAGCAAAACAATTTAACCCAAGGTGAAATTGCAAAGTTACTCATTTTGGAGCTGTTAAATCAACAGAGAAGGAAAGTTCTTAAGGTGCTACAAACAATTTAAATTTGAACGTTTGTAATTCCACAAGCAAACTCCATCTGCTGTAGATAAAAGGTGGTGATATTCTGCACTATAAAATAAGATCTTAACAGTTGAGCATTACAGTTTATTTATTTATTGTTGGGTGGGGGTGTAGCTATATTTGACAAGACAGCTAAAGATAGACAGGAGAGGGGGATGACATACAGCAAGGTGCCACTGGTCGGACTCAAACCCATGGCCGCTGCAGCCTTGGTACAGCTCTACCAAGTGAGCTACCAGTGCGCATCTACAGTTTATTCTTAACTTTGGAAATAGCTACTTCTGGAGCTTTAAACCATGGTGATTTCCTGATACTACTGTAGT